CTCTAGGGTGCACAGCTGCTTGGCTTAGCCGAGGCACTAACCAACGAGGAGGTGATGTGTTGATTCAGCTCAAACCCAGGGGACATGACTGTTCTGGGTGGCTGAGCCACTTTTTTCTAAGATGCAAGGCACCCCTGCAGCTAAAGTGCAGGGGATCGTGGCTGCTATAGACAGCCAAGGCACCATTTCCCAGGAGGCAGACTAAAGCTTCAAATCACACACTGGAGGAGCATGACAGCTCTGGGTGGCCAAGCTACCATTTTCCCTGGAGGCCTTGCATGCTTCAGCCCTGGCCCTGAGGGGCAGGGGACAGCTGTAACCAGAAGAGGTAGATGTGGTGGCTTGATTGCAACTTGGACCGATGGAAGAAGATGTAGCAGCAGTTTGGCTCATTGATGGTGGTCCACCAGGTAGGGGTGGTTGAGCTCTGGAATGAGAGGGTGCTGCGGCCACTCACCTCTGAAAAAGGACATCCTCTAGCAGCAGTTCCAGTTTCAAGAAGGCATAGCACAGTAGCTGTGTTGACCGAAGCGGGTGGCGTATAGTGTTAGCTCCTTTTCAGGGGGAAGCATAGCTCTGTGTACTCAGCTGGGCTTACTGCCTGTGAGGACATATTCTTGCATGAGGAAGTTCCCTCCTGGTTCTGGCTGCTCCTGGCTTGGAAGTAGGGTAGTGGAGGCCAGGTGTTTACTTCTATTCTCTGTGGCCATCCTGGGTTTATACGCTTTGCAGGGTTTTTGCTACTTTTGATGTACTCAAGTACTTTCCTTTGCTTACTTTAATCAACATGTAGTTGTTTATTATTTTGACTATCTTTCTAGGGTAAGAAACGACCAGAACTGAAGGCTTCTAGATGGCTGTGTTGCAAATGTTACTCTTGAATTGAAGCATTTTGAATTTGGGCCATTCTAATAGGTGAGTAGTCATGTCTCATTTTTATTTGAATTTTCAATTTCTTAATGGCCTATGATATTGAACATGTTTCCATATCCTTACTTGCCATCTGTGTATCTTTGATGAGATGTCTGCTCAGGTCTTTTGCCATTTTTAAATTGGGTTGTTTGCTTTCTTATTGTCGAATTTTAAGAGATCTTTGTATATTTTGGATAACTGTCCTTTATTAGGTATGTATTTTGCAAGTATGTTCTCCCAGTCTTTTCATTTTCTCATTCTCTTCATTTATTTCACAGAGCAAAAGTTTTTAATTTTTATTACTTTCAGCCTATCAATTGTCTTTCTTGTGTCATGGCTTTAATATTGTTTCTAAAAAGTCATTTCCCTACCCAACATCACCTGGATTTACTCCTATACTTTCTTTTAGGGGTTGTATAGTTTTCCATTTTACTTTAGGTTTATGATATATTATGAGCTAATTATTGTGAAAGGTGTGGAGGTCTGGATCTAAACCCATCCTTTATTTTTTCGTTTGGATGTTCAATTGTCCCACCATTTGTTGAAATGACTATTGCATTGCTTTTGTTCCTTTGTCAATCATCAGTTGAATATATTGATGTGGATGTACATTTGGGCTTTCTGTTCTGGCCGATTGATCTATTTGTCTGTTGTTTCACTAACACTTCACGGTCTTGATTAATAAAGATTTATACTAAATCTTGAAGTCAGGTAGGGTCAGTAATCCAACTTTATTTTCCTTCTCTATTGAGTAGGCTATTCTGTTTTATTTATTTTTTTATTGTCTTTCCATATGAACTTTGAGATAAGTTTGTCAATATAAAGAAAATAACTTGAAGAGATTTTGGTGGTGGCAATTATATTGAATCTATAGATCCAGTTTGGAAAAAAATGATATCTTGACAATATTGAGTATAACTAGTGAAAAATCTGAACACTCTCTCCATTTATTGTTTTTCTTTGATAGCCTTCATTAGAGTTTTATATTATGCCTTATAAAGATTAAATGCATATCTTGTTAGATTTATACCTAAGTATTTAATTTTGGGAATGGTAATGTAAATAACATTGTGTTTTTAATTTCATGTTCTATTTGTTTATTGATGATATATAAACAAGCAACTGAGTTTTGGAATACAAACATTGTATTCTGCAACCTTGCTATAAGTGCCTATAGTTCCACATGTTTTCTTATAGATTCTTCCAGATTCTCTACATAGAAAATAATGTTATCTGCAAACAGTTTTATTTATTTCTTCCTAACGCTTTTTCTTCATCTCTTTATTTATGTGCTTCTTTTTTTCGTTTTTCGATTTGATGAATTACAATAATTTATTTTCTAGTAATTAACTAGCATTGCATACTTGGGATAAAACATATCTGGCTGTGGGTATAATTCCTTTTATACTTTGTTGGATTCAATTTGCTTACATTTTACTGAGGATTTTTGAATCTATGTTTATGAAAGATATTAGCCTGACCTTTTCTTATAATGTCTATGGCTGGTTTTGATATTAGTTAATGTTGACTTCATAGAATGATTTAGGAAGTATACCATCTTTTTCTATCTTCTTGAAGAAATTATAGAGAATGGGTACAATTTTCTTCTGAAATATTTGATGGAATTTATGAGTGAACTTATCTGAACCCAGTGCTTTCTGTTTTGGAAGTTTATTTATGTTGAATAAATTTATTTAATGGATATTAGTTTATTCAGATTGTTATATGAATTTTGCAGATTGTATTTTTCAAGGAATTGGTCTATTTCATCTAGTTTTTCAAATTTGTGAAATTCTAAATTTCTGAAATTAGATTTGTTTATAGTATTCCTTTATTATCCCTTCTGTGCCCATGGGATCTATAGTGATGACTTATCTTTTATTTCTGATATTAGTGTTTTTTCTCTCTTACCCTTCACCCCTATAGTTATCATGGCTAAAAGTTTATAAATTTTATTGATCTACTCAAGTAAATAGCTTTCGGTTTTATTGATTTTTCTCTATTATTTTCTGTTGGTTCACTGATTTCTGGTTTAATTTTTATTCTTTTCTGCTGCTTCCTTTTTGGATTTAATTACTCTTCTTTTTCTAATTTCCTAAGGTAGAAACTTGGAGCATTGATCTAAGATGTTTTTTATTTCTGATAAAAGCATTCAATGCTATAAATTTCTAAGCACTGCTTTCACTGTATCCCACAAATGCTGATAAGTTGCATTTTCATTTTCATTTAGTTCAAAACATTTTTTTAAAAATTCCCAGCTTTACTGACACATGCCTTAGTTTTTTTTTTGTTGTTTGTTTGTTTGTTTGTTTGTTTTTTAATTGTTGTTGCTATATACCAGATACTGGGTAATTTATAATTAAAATTATGTATTTGACTCACAATTCTGATGGTTCAAATTTCAAGATTGGGCATCTGCACTTGGAGAGGGCCTCTTGCTGCTTCAACTCATAGCAGAAAGTAGAAAGGGAGTGGGCATAAACAAAGAGATCACAGGGCAGATAAGGGAAAAGACAAGAGGGTCTAATAAGCCAAACTCACTTTTATAACAACCCACTTTCCAGTAACTTATTTAATCTCATGAGACTGAGAACTCACTCCTAGAAGGGGGCACTAATCTAGAGGAAACTAATAAGGAATCTGCTTACATTATGCATCTTTTCTTGCATGTTATCTACTTTTCAAATAAAAAGCCTTAGCCCATTACTCACAGTTTTGTTTGTTTGTTTAAATTTCTGGTTGGTTAATTCTAACATTCCTTCCATATCTGATTCTGGTCCTGAGGCTTTTTCAATCTCTTCAAACTGTGTATTATTTCTTTTAGTATGCATTGCAGTTTTTTATTGAATAGTGAACATGGTGTTTTAGGGGAAAAAGGAACCAGAGTAAACAAATATGTCTTTTTAAATGTAGTAGTTAGATGTGTGGAAAAGTATATTATAGTCCTATTATTTGATCTCAGCCTTTAGATGAGCATATGTCCCTGATGGTGAATTTCACTAGTAAATATCAGGCCTTTTCCCTTCTTAGATGGGGCAGAATGGCTAGAGTGAGCTAAAATTGAGTATTTTCCTTTCCCCACGTGGAAATATGTAGCAGGCATCTACATCTGGAATAGGATATTTTTCTGCCCTGAAGTAGGTTAGTCTCTGAGAAAGCCACAGCAGCTTGGACTCTAATAAAATAGTTTCTCTTGGAGGGCAGGCCTCATTTAGAAGAACAGGATGCTCTGGCATATTTCAAAATAATTTTTTTCCCTCCTCCTGCTGGACACTTATGGGGATTTTTCTCTGATACTTATTGTGTGGCGGTCCCCCTATGACTGAGTTCAACCCCTGATTTTTAACCCTCAGAGTTATCTACACCGAGTCTCCAAAAATCCATCAATCATAGTTTAGGTTTTCCTGCTCAGGCAGGTGTTCTCATGAAGGTTAATGTCATTATCATTCAGTACTCACTTAAACCATTAGCTTGTGGCACCTGAACTTCCCTCTCTCTCTCCCTTAAAACAAAAGGATCACTATGTCTTTACTCTAAAAAGTCTCAGAACTGCTTTTGTTTAGACCCTCATTTTTTTGTTCCAAAATGTATATTTTTTCCACATCTTCCTAACTCTACCACCAATTGCATATATTACATAAATTTTTAAAATAGATCATATCATACTCCTACTTGAAATCTTGAGTATTTTCCCATTGCTTTTAGCATCTTAAGCCATACTCCTGGGAATAGCATGGAAGGTCCTTCATAATATGGCCCAAATCCATTTTCATCTTGCACCTCCTCCCACTGCCCACAGTTCTGACAAAATAGAACTGCAACCATTCTCAAGAAAAGATTGACATTTTTATGTTGATGCTTCTATCCACATGGAAATTGGTTCTGGATACGACACTTCTTTCTCCAGCTAACAAATGTTATTTCATCCACCAAATATATTCTTCATTAGGAAGAATTTCCCTAACACAGCAAGCTGACTTTGTCTCTTCCTTGTGCGTGGTCTCCTAGTACAGTTTTCACAATTCTGCCATAGCTGTTAGATCATCGTATTGCATTTATTTATTTACTCATTCTATTTCCTCAGAGAGAAAGGCAGCCTCAAGAGTGATGTGTGCTTCATTTTTGTCTTCAGCAGTTGACATAGTGTCTAACCATGAGCAGATTCTCAATTAAATTCTTTTTTATTAAAAGAAATTAATCTTCATTGTTTTAATTGTTGGCTTAATAACTTAAAATTGAAAGGCTAGGACAGTTGCTGGAAGGTTAACTATAGGTGCATAATGACCTTTCAAATGTTTACACTGCTTAACTTGTACCAGGAAAGAACCAGAATAAAGTTCTACATTGTTAATTAGAAGCAAGAAATCAGGATTCTTTCTCCCACTGTGGATAAGAATTAAAGAAAGTTTGTGTAGCATGATATCTAGGACATAAAAGATACTCACTACATGGCAGCCAAGAGAAACTTTTAAAAACTAGAATCTAGGTTAAATCCTCGATTATTGGCAGATGCAATTCTCAAATTCTTTTTAGGCAACAGATGCAACTTATTAAAAATTTAATGCTGCAGCAAAGAACTACTGAAAATGAATCAAACAGAAACCTGCCCCCGCTTAGGGTATAATATAGGGTTGTCATACATTTATCTCAGTCTGCTTTCTCTAACCATGGATTCTTTAATATTTCTATAATGCTCTATGCTAACCAAAGTGTATGGATGTTTCTTTGCAAAGGTGAAGCTCTTGACAGCTCTGGAAAGTAGGTAAGACAAGTGTAACTTTCTTAGTTATAGAGAGAAGGGGAACTGAGTCACAAGACAGGAAAAGCTCAGGATCACAGAGCAAGTTAATAACAGAATTGGGAAAAGTACTTATCCTCATTTTACTCCAATTTCCTTTCTTCACTTAATGTTATTTATTCAAAATAACAAAGATATTTTATAAAATGATGAGCCATATAAAAACTTTGCTTGCAATGTCTATGACAGGAAACAGGATT